GAATTAACTCCAGGTAATCTGTCCTCATCTGGCACAAAAACTTTGTTTAGGAGGATATCTCCATTTTGAACCATCCTCAGGCCAATCTTATTCTCTATTTTAGTGGCTTGCAATCCAGGTGCGTCTTTCTTTATTATAAATCTGCAAAAGGGGTACCCAATACAGAAATACATTTAGAAGGGAGATCGATAAATGAACAATTTTAGGTGTATTAATGGTTGTTGTTTAACCAGTGACACTGTGACACATGACTCACTCAGAACCAAACCTCTCAACAATTACAAAAAGGATTATATAAAAATGACTAGAAATAGAATAGGCAAATATTTTGAACTGAAAGGCAGCTAATAATACAAGTATTCAAAGAAACCCCATTCAAAATGAAATCAGAACATAAGACAGCTTCCCTGCAATTGATTCAACAGGAACATCCTAACAAATTATAGCTGGAACTTAATGTACTTTTAACATACCCATTTATCTGGTTTGTAGCAGCATTTCTAGCAAAAATTATAAGTACATCTGCGAATGTACCGTTTCCTATCCAACGCTTTTGACCTTCTATGACCCAACCTCCTTCAACCTTCTCAATTTAATATGCAGCAAAAAGATACAGCGAATGAAAATGCTATACACAATAATAGTACTAGTTCTTAGGAGTTGGGGAATTAAAATTGAAAATCTCACAAGAGTAGACCTTTGTTGCAACTGTTTTCAAAGAACTTGCATCACTCCCATAGTCCGGTTCTGTAAGCGCCTAACATCCAGAAGGTGTACTTCAGATCATTTAACCAGAAGTCCAACCCCAACCCCCCTGCCCAAACAAAAAAAAAACAGAGGCATGCAACTTTGCAGGAACCTAGACAGCAGATGATAGGAATTTCTCACCCAACATGATATAGTATCCAGCGTGGCCAATGATGGTAAATACTTCTGCTTTTGTATCTCTGACCCGCAAAGTGCTAATGTTGAGGGTCCAGGATAGTATTAGAACTTCATCGTCATTCTGCCCACTATTTGTTATAATCAGATATTACACTCACCTATCGTTAGCATAGCTAAAGAAGAATGAACCAGAATAAAAGTTGAGCAGCTGGCATCAACTCTAGCAACTTCTGCTGCAGCAACAGCACTCGCTGTTAAAGAGAGTCCAGGACAGCCATAACCCTGACCAACAATAAGTTAGAGCCACAACTATCTGTTGAGAATGTTGAGAAAACTGGGCTTCACATTTTCGTATCAATAACCCACAATACAGTTATATTTCTCTCTAACACATACACACAAATTTACTATACTTCCTGCCACATTCATACACTAACTCTTGCACATTTTCTCCTCTAATAAATAGGACTCTCAACACAACAAACATTCAGCATCCGCATTTTCTTGATTCCTTAATTTTTTTCACATTGTTCTAAATTCTCACACACATTATGCTTCACATACATTACTACAAAAAATAACACAAAAATGTACTTACATGAAATATAATGTGCTAAGAGTCTAAGATCATGTGCTACGTTACGAAAATTAATAAATTCAGCACTATCTATCAGAAAATATAAAAATAAATGTTAGGAATAAAAGTAGTTACACCTTGATGGTGCCACCAGCCATGCGTAAAGCACCAAGTTTTGGAATTATTTCAAAGGGAAACTCGGCCTTTTCCCAGTACTGCAAGAAAAAATATCATGGTCCACCTTGTATTCAATCAATTCACTTTTAAAGAACAAGCCAACATATGTATAATGCCATATATTGTTTAAAAAAAAATAATAGTATAACCCAGTTTAACAATCCTGGAGGAAAACCTTTGCCATTATCGGCGCTACTTCTTTTTCCATGCACTCTCTGACTTTCATTCTGAGATTTCTCTCATCAGGAGTAAGCAAGTCATTAAACTCATAATAGTCAGATTCTGCAAGGCATATGAAATACATATTAGTACAAGAGAAATGACTATTTTAACATCAACAAAGGGAAATAATTGAAAATATCTGAGCAAGTTTAAAGACTTCTCTCAAGATCACAACTTCAATGCTGCATAAAGTCAGGAGAATAATGTATTCATCCAAATCATGAGACAATAGCAACTGAGAATTAATCCCAAATCACTAGAGACATCTACATGGACATAAGGTATTCAATGGTAGCATATGCAACTCAAAGAATTTAGAGAGCATGAAATATGCATATACTAGACCTGACAGGGTTATGAGGAGAATTAATTTTGTGCAATTCTTCAAAAGAGAGAGCTAGTGAATCATGAGACTTACTGCACTGAGGAAACTTGGAAGCTGGAGTTGCTTGAGGAAATGCAACAGAAATATCCATAGCCTGCATATCAAAATACTTCTTTTTACCTCCTCGTGCTTTTACTCTGTAGCACATTATACTTGCAGATATCATAAAATATCATAAAACTTAGATGTGGATTGAACTATTTTTGACTTTCAGTTTGTGTTTTCAATTTCAAAAACATAAACAGTTTTTTACTATTGCTTTTGTTTTAAGTTTCTTAAAGCAAATAAAAGGGTGTTGATTGTTTTTGAAAAAATGTTACCGAGTTTGACATTATGGATAAAAGGGTTACATGATCATATCATAGTAAATAATAAAAATGTAGATACAAAATACGCCAGAAATTTGAAGAAAAAAAGTTAAAGAGAACACATTTAAAGATAACGAATCAGATTTAGCTAAATATTAGACTACAATGTCAACCTCATCCAGCAGAAGTTGTTCTGTAGTTTTTACAGTCCATTGGTGTTTAGACTCATTATCTTTCTATCCCTTTTATCATTCTTATGTTCTCCATTTTTTATCCTTTTTATCTTATACGGAGTACTACGTATTTTTTATCCTTCTTATCTTATCATCTTTATCTTTGTCTTGGTTTTTTAAATCTTCTTTATGTTATCTTTATCTTTTTATATTTCTCATCTCTTATCTTTTTTTAGCTCCTATTTCATGTGTGGTTAGCCGATGCCAAACTATTTTGGGAGTAAGGTTTGGATGTTGTTGGTGTTTGGACACAACCAATCAAAAGTTTAATTATCTTTAGCCATTAAAAGGTAAATCATAACTCCTAATTTTCATAATAACATTCAAAACAGTAGATAATCAAAACTCAGACGCAACCTCCTTAATTTATATACACCCAGATGCAACCCGCCTCCCCAATATATATACACATTAGGCTTATAATAATTCTCTGTCTGGAACCGATTGACCACATAATGGCCATAAATTCACAGTTTTTAACACCCTGTTGACCTCCAGTAAACCTCATCACATATCCGACTGTACAGAACGAGTAGAAAATTAAATTCACCAGAAGTTCTCTTAGTGTTATAGCCCTTCCCTCAACCATCATCACAGATACGACTCGTGAATAACCATATAATACTAAATGTATAAAAAGCAAGAAATGGACCTTGAGATATATGTAAAGGAACTTCGAGGGTGATTACTGATTAGTGAGCCAAAGTGGGGAAAGCTGGGGGCTAGGAGGTCTGCGGAGAAGACTAAACAAGGAGGATGCGTTATAAATGCAGTCTTACCAAAATAGATTATAGGATTCATACGGAATATAGTTAAATAAATGGTGTTCCAGAGGCGGCCACGCTACTCCTTACGAGAGACTTTAATAGTCATCTTACATGTGTATGTAATGTAAGAGACTATATCCCATCACCTGTAATCAGGGGCGGAGCCAAGGGGGTGAGGGTGGTCAATGGACCCCGCTGAAAATGTGAGAGTATAGACCTCTGAAATACCTTCGATTTGATATATTATGGCCCCGTAACTCATTACGGATTAAAAGTTATGACTTCTGCAAAATCAACACTATCTAAACGTAAAATCATCAAAATTTGATCCGTAATATTGATTATTTTCCCAAATTTTAAAAATAGCATATAAGTAACTTATTACTTGCGTGACATGACTTAGAGACAGAGCAAAACAATTTATCTTATTGTTAGGAGTGTCTATTTATCTAAACTACATATGAAACATCCAACTCAGACATTGTCTAAAAACGATACATCATTTTCATTTTGTATGTAGTTGATTTTCGACCCCTCTGGATCATTTTTCTGGCGGTTTTCTGGCTCCGCCACTGCTTGTAATCTTACATGTACATGCTAATTTTTTTTGAATCCATGAGTCTCCAATTTATGAAAATGAAATTTTCGACGAAACAATTGAATTAATTGAATATAATAAATTACGAAAAATTATATTTAAAATATATTTAATAATGAAATAAAGAAAAAAATATATAAAAAATAATTAGAACCTATTTGCTAACATTGGATTGACCGTATCAGATGATTTTGCTGGAATTTATGAATAAAATTTTATTCATGTGACTTTCGAATTACATCCAATAATTTTGCTAAAAATTCTTTAAATTATCTCCAATAATTTTTTTCTTTATTTTATTAAAACAGCCAAATCGAGACAAAAAATTCGAAATCCCTTTAAAACCTCATTTTTTGGTTTGGTACCATACGTGTTCACTTCGGTACCATGCCGGTGTGATTTTTTGCCCACCCCTAACAAAAAGAGGGAAAAGAGAAAAGGAGGAATTTGTGTACCACGTCCGCTTCAACTTTTTCTTCTTTTTTTGAATAAAAATAATAATATTACTGTGATGGAGTTGCAAAAGTACAAAAACCGTGAATCTGTGATGTGGCAATTTTCTATAACTTGATTGGTTATAGAAAGTTAAGTCACATCTAAAAACAGAGTTAGGTTACTAACACAAACATGTGTTTAAAGTGCTTATTAATCTTATTACTCCATCTATTAATTAAACAAATGATTACAATATTTTATACTCCGTATAACTCTAAAGTTAAAAAAATGTTTGCAATATCCACTTCTAATTATTATTTTTTCTTCTTAGCTAATCATGATGTACATGAGACAAGCTAGGTTGTTTAAAATATGCATTATAAAAATTATAGGCACTTCTTTATCGTGAATATAAGATTTCATTTGTCATTCTTTCGGCTCAATTAATCCCAATGATAATCTCATAATTATTATTATCATTATTGGACCAAAGTATTGGCATATATACTACATTACAACTTAATAAAAAGGCATGCTTAGCAAGGTTACATGCACACTTTAATTAATGGGGTGGGGTTTATTTACATCAAATACATCTACTCCAAGTTTCCAAACACAGATCATTACTCCAACAACATCCCAGCACGATATAAGGACTCATATTTGACCTGCCAGTGCCAGATATAGCAAAATGTTAGGTTCCAGTTAAGTGAACTGATCACATCACCCAAAAACTCAGAGATCTACCAAATGTGAGACCATCTCATTACATTACAATGTATAATAATCCAAGTAGATTGTGCATCAAGAAAATGCAGTCAGTTAACCTAATTCTTAAAAAACTCCAGCTTTCTCTCTTCCGTACACTAACCCAGAACTACACAACCAGTCATTACAGTTCCCTTTGCCTTTTGGTGCGCCGTGTTTTGGTTGTGTGTACCAGCAGCGCATAAAAATGACATCTTCAATGTTATAATGTGTACGGTGCAAATGTGACATGAGAGACATACACATATAAAAAGTGATAAGTGTAATCTCGCTCTCCTTATTTAAAAGGCATTGCCAGTTTTTGGTAATTTTTCTCCACAATGTCAAGGAAAATGAATATGTAGACATTGTATTTGACAATATTGATAAAAAGTAACTAAAAATATAGAAAGCCGTGGAAAGAGAGAAAAACTCTGATAATCTAATTTTATGTGTATATTCACTCATGTCATATGTGCACCATGCACACTGTTACATTGAAGATGGTCTAATTGATTCACAAGCTATCCTAACTATTTCTCTTTAATTATTCTAGTTGTTTCTTTTTATTTTGCTTTCCTTATTCTAGTTGATTCCATTTATCTAGCTTTTCTTATTTCAAGCAAGTCTCTAATTATGAATGTGTGATAGTTTAGATTTCTTTCCTATTATTGTTTAGGACTCTGATTTCTGCCTATAACTGCTTATATCACTTTGAATAAAATATTAAGTTTGGAATATTGATTTCTTGATTTGTTGGTGGAACCAGGGATCATCTTTCTTGACCAGGGCAGGAAGTTGGGGGTTTTATTCTCACGCTTCAAATTCCCCTTTTCATCATCAATGACCTTGGACTAGATCTTGTACCAACGACCTTAACATCGTGTCATCGTTATTAAGAAATAAAAAAACATCATCAAATATTGAATAGCCAACCAATAAAAATAAACAAAATATGCTTCCTCCACACACACACATATAATGGACAGAGATGATGATTGTTAAAAGGTGCAACATACCTTGGTTGGAGATAGAACGGCTTCTCACCAAGTCCTTGAGAACATATATAATGAACTGCCACCGCCACCAGAAACATAACTATGAACAGTCGAAACATCTAACTTAGTCAAAAGGAGGCATTGCCGAACAAACACATCATGAAAGAAGAACTAAAATGGGTCCATTATTAGAGGCGAAGATAAAAAAATATGGTTACATATAAATACATCCTATGAAAGTTATGGAACCATCACATCTGGTAAGAGCCTATTAACTTATGATTGATGAAGATCAATCTGATATTGTTAATCCACATAGAACTATGGAAGGCAGAGTCAGGGATGCAAAAAATTCAAGTAATACATGAATAGCAAGCAAGCTGCTCAATCCATTGCATGATCTACACTTGACTCGATCTCAAGTTACTCGTAAATGCTTTCAAGTTGAACTCGAGCTTGTTTTCGCAATGCTTGAGAGCTTGACAAGCTTGTAAACTGAGTAATAAGAATTAAAGATGCAATGAAATCACACTTCATTATCATTAGGTATGGCCAGTATAAATACATACAAGCTAGGGAATACAAAAAGGAAACTAAATCTGTCAGATTTACCTAGAATATTTAGTCTATCGCAGAGAATATATTAGCTACCATATATATACATAGAATATATTGACTATTAAATATGTATATTCTAACACTCCCCCTCAAGCTGGAGCATAGATACTAATCATGCCCAGCTTGGTACAGATGAAATTGATACGTGTCCCCGGTAGAGCCTTGGTGAACACATCTGCCAGTTGGTTTCCCGTTTTGATGTGTGAAGTGCAAATTGTACCATCTTCTACCTTTTCTCGAGTAAAGTGACAATCAACTTCGATGTGTTTTGTTCTTTCATGAAAAACAGGATTATTTGCTATATGGATAACCGCTTGATTATCACACCATAATCTCATGAGTTCTGTTTGAGTAAATCCAAGTTCACCAAGCAAATGCTGAAGCCAAACCAGCTCACATGTAGTCTGTGCCATAGCTCGATATTCAGATTCTGCACTTGATCTAGAAACAACATTTTGCTTCTTACTTTTCCAAGATACAAGGTTTCCTCCAACAAAGACACAGTAACCAGTGGTGGAATGTCGGTCATTAGGGTTTCCAGCATAATCCGCATCAGTAAACCCTTCAATAACATGATGTCCGTGGTTTTGATATAGTATCCCACGCCCTGGAGCCCCCTTCAAGTATCTTAGGATATGAGTAACTGCATCCCAGTGTGATGTTCGTGGAGTGGATAGAAACTGACTGACCACACTAACCGGGAAAGCAATATCAGGCTGGGTGATAGTCAAATAATTCAGTTTCCCAACAATCCTTCGGTATACCTCAGGATTTTCCATCAAGTCGCCTTCATCAGCTGTTAACTTTACATTTGGGATCATCGGAGCATCACACGGTTTTGCCTCAACCAAACCTGCATCATTTAGCACATCTAGGCAGTATTTTCTTTGAGACAAGTAAATTCCCTTGTTACTACGTGAGACTTCTATCCCTAAGAAGTACTTCAAGGGCCCAAGATCTTTGGTCTGAAAGCAAGTAGAAAGGAAAGCTTTCAGTTTCAAAATACGACTCGCATCACTGCCAGTGATCACGATGTCATCAACATACACAACTAATAGAATGCATCCAGAATTTGAGGTAGAGAAGAAAACTGAGTGATCATAGGCACTCCTGCGTAGGCCAAATTTAAATATTGCAGCACTGAAACGGCCAAACCAAGCTCGTGGGGATTGTTTCAGACCATACAACGATTTCCTTAATTTACATACCTTTCCAGACTCCCCCTGAGCAAGAAACCCTGGTGGTTGCTCCATGTACACTTCCTCGCTAAGGTCACCATTCAAAAAGGCATTTTTAATATCAAGTTGATGGAGTGTCCAATTGTAAGTAGCAGCCAAAGAGATAAACAATCGAATGGATGTAAGTTTGGCAACAGGAGAGAAGGTGTCAAAGTAATCTATACCATATGCTTGAGCATAACCCTTAGCTACTAACCGTGCCTTTAAACGAGCAACCGAACCATCAGGATTCATTTTGACAGTGAACACCCATTTACACCCAATAGCTTTCTTATCGGGTGGAAGATATACAAGGTCCCATGTGTGGTTCTGGTCGAGAGCCATTATCTCCTCTCGCATTGCCTCTTGCCAACCAGGATGAGTCAAGGCCTCAGAAACAGTTGAAAGAACAACAATAGAATCTAAAGAAGCAATAAAGCTCTTGGAAGAAGATGACAATGTATTATAAGTAACAAAGGAAGAAACAGGATAAGTACAAGTACGAGTACCTTTTCGGAGGGCGATTGGGAGATCAAGGTCGGAGGGAGCAGAATCTGGAGGCGAAGCAGAAGATGGCAGCGGTACACTGGTAGCCATAGTAGGTGCCGTAGTCACATGGCGCACACGACGAGAGTAAACTTTAAGGGGAGGAGGTGGAGGAGGAAGGAAAGTTGATGAAGAAGTCTGATTGGGGGGACAGATTCTAGCTGGCTGGTGGTATAGACTAGAAACTCATCATTAGAGAGTTCCAAAGAAGATGAACTATGCTGAAAGAAGGGTGTTTCTTCAAAAAATGTGACATCTGGAGAGATAATATACCGTCCCAATGAAGGAGAATAACATCGATATCCTTTTTGTAACCGGGAATAACCCAGAAAAACACACTTGATTGATTTAGGATCAAGTTTTGAGACCTGGGAACGCATATCCTGGACAAAGCATGTGCAACCAAACACACGAGGCACAAGAGAGAACAAGGACTGAGAGGGGAATAAAACGGAGTACGGAATCTGACCATTAAGAACAGAGGAAGGCATACGATTGATAAGGTAACACGCAGTGGAAACAGCGTCTACCCAAAATGGTTTAGGAACCCCCATGTGAAATATTAAGGCTCGAGCTACTTCTAGGAGGTGACGATTCTTTCGTTCAGCTACACCATTTTGTTGAGGTGTATAGGGACAAGAAGTGTGGTGTAAAATCCCATGGCGAGATAAGTAAGTCTGAAAAGTGCTAGATAGATAGTCTTTAGCATTATCACTTCTCAGAATGCGTATATTCTTATTAAATTGAGTTTGAATTTCAGCATGAAAGGTACAAAATGCAGTAAACACATCTGATCGGGATTTCAAAGGATAAAGCCAAGTAACCCGTGAAAAATCATCCACAAATGTAACAAAATAACGATGACCAAGTTTGGAAACGACAGGACAAGGACCCCACACATCAGTGTGAACTAAATCAAAACTAGACTCAACATTTTTATTTATTCGAGGAGGGAAATTTGTTCTATGATGCTTAGCAAACTGACATGCTTCACACTCCAAAACAGACTCCCGTGATAGACTAGGACACATTTTTTGTAGTACAGAAAGAGACGGATGACCAAATTGACAGTGAACTTTCAACAGAGACGAACTTGTGCATGCAACTGATCTCGGCACCAAGGATTCAAAAACATATAAGCCATTAACCAGTCTACCTTTACCAATAATCTGCTTCGTCCCAAGATCCTGAAAAGGACAATGAGTGGGAAAGAAAATAACACAGCAGTTTAGGGCTTTAGTAATCTGACTGACTGAGATTAAATTAAACGGAAATTGAGATAAATATAGAACAGAAGATAGAGAAAGGTTTGGAGAAAGAGTTGTTGTTCCAAGGCCATTGACAGATGCGGTTGATCCATTTGCTAAAGTAACATGAGACTGGTTAGCAGAAGAGGTAAATGAATCCAAAATACTTTCATTACCAGTCATATGGTCCGTTGCGCCAGAATCGATCACCCAATTGCGTGATGATGTAGAGAGGCATGCAGCTGGATTACCTGTATCAACTTGTGTGGTGGCACATGAGGCTGTGAGAGAAAGTTGTTGTAGCCGAGCATATTCATCGACTGAGATAGTAACAGTGGAAGGAGTTGGTAGGATACCATCCTGGATAACCGTATTAGCAACACGCTTGGGAGGAAACTGTCCAGAAGTCTGTGGTGGACGACCATGTAATTTCCAGCAATTCTTCTTCACATGACCCTCAGCTCCACAGTGATAACATGTGCGAGAAGAATTACGCGTCCCTTCAGTAGTGACTGAATTGGTCCTTTTACCATGGCTCACATCACTGACTAAGGCAGCAGTATCAATTGAGTTCATCATTCTGGATTCTCCATCTTTGCACACTGGAAGGAGACGTCCATAGAGGTCAGAAAAACTAGGAAGGGTCCCACCAGACAGTATTTGACTCCTTGATACCTCATATTGTGGACCAAGCCCAGCCAAAACACCATGAACAAATGTTCGCTCCTCTTGTTCTTGCATACTCTTAACATCAGCAGTAATAGGGAATCGAGACCGCTTTTCCTCAAAAATCTGTTTACATTCATTATAGTATTGAAACAGCGTCTGATCCCTCATCTCCGGTCTATAGTAGTGCACCAGTAATTGATGAACATAAGAGAGATCTTGTTTACTGGCATACATAGACTCCAAGTATTCCCACATTTCTTTGACAGTATCACAATGAGTAATGATAATATCAATAGAAGGATCCAGGGTATTCTGAATTTGATTGAACAACCTATCATCCGCCATCATCCATTTTTTTCTTTCATCAGGATTACTTCTTGGAGGAGCCATTTCAGTTAGATGATCTCCCAGATCAAGACTATTAACGTATCTAGTAATAGTCCGTTTCCACTGCCCGTAATCTTTACTACCAGTCGGTTTTCTCTCGGTAATTCTAGCATTACCGACAGTAATCTCAGTCACACTCTTCTTATCATCACCCATGCTTGCAAACAACTAGGGCAAGAGTAATAACAAGAACAGGGTAAGAGAACTGGTGCAAATAGTAAAGATAGTGTCCAGAAAATCAGACCTGCGACAATTGTTCTGCACTATCCGGATTACCACGCCTGCGCCTGCGAACAACGTCCTGTGCCGCACAAAAGAGAGCTGAATCGAACCAGAGGGAGGGAGCAGAGTTGAACTTCGGGAAGTACTACCCGAAGAACCTGTGTGGCTCTGATACCATGTAAACTGAGTAATAAGAATTAAAGATGCAATGAAATCACACTTCATTATCATTAGGTATGGCCAGTATAAATACATACAAGCTAGGGAATACAAAAAGGAAACTAAATCTGTCAGATTTACCTAGAATATTTAGTCTATCACAGAGAATATATTAGCTACCATATATATACATAGAATATATTGACTATTAAATATGTATATTCTAACAAAGCTTAATTGAGTACTTGGTACATTATACTCCCTCCGTCCCAAAAACAACTTCCCACTTTCCTTAAATGGATGTCCCAAAATTAACTTCACACTTCTTCCCACTTCCTTATTTGGCAAATTATCAACATCAAAATAGTGTCAAACAGTACCAAACAGTGCCAAACAGTGTCCAAACAGTGTCCAAACAGTGTCCAAACAGTGTCCAAACAGTGTACAAACAGTAAAATTTTGGGAAAGTCAAACCAAAATTTTAATCTACCTAAATGTGTGTGCTAGTCAAACTGTGAAGTTGTTTTTGGGACGGAGGGAGTATATATAATAACAACATCCAAGCCTTAGTCCTAAAAGATTTTGAGGTAGGCTAACATGAACCATTGAATCTATACATGATATCGGAGCAAAAGATAAAAAGAAAGATAAAAAGATAAGGTATGAAAAAAAGATAACAAAAAAATAGAGATAAAATATACATAAAAATGATAAGATAAAAAAGTTAAAAATTATATACATATATATATTAAAATAAAGGGATAAAAGGATAAAACATGAGAAAGATAAAGAAGATAAAATGGGGAAAAGATATAAGAGTTTAATCCGCCACACAAATACACACCCTTCATTTTGCTCTCCAAAGTCATGCACTCATCCAATCTAAGAAGAAGCATATCATTTTTGACTCCTCTATAATGTCCCATATATATGGTACATTATATATACGTCTCATGTTATATATATTCTATATAATATTTTATATTATGTATTATGTATATAGTAATAAATTGAATAACTAAAGAAGTACCCCTATCTCTAATTGTACTACTCAATGATATCATCATCATCATCATCATCGTCATTATCATTACCCCAGTACCGCAAACGCTCCCACACCTTCGGTGGGATTAGGGGGTCGGATGTACTAGTCTTACCCCTGTAGTAAAGCACAGAGAGACCATTTCCGAATGGCCTATAGTGAAAATCGCGTCGAAAATTGCATGGACTGATTGCTGCTTCATAACAAAGAAGCGCAATCAATTTAGTAAGCTATTTTGCTTTATTCCATCATATTCCCAAGCCAAAAAATAGTGAGCCTGCTAGAGAGCGGGAAGAGCATGGGGCGGGACCGGGCTTGGGCCCACTTCCGTGGGCAGGGTTAGGGCTATCGTTGTAGTTTAATTATTATTATTATTATTAAGTTAATGTTATGTTTTGGTTTGGGCCTTTTATTAGTAGAATACTTAGTAGAGTTAGTATGGGCCTAATTAGGATTTAATTAATTTGGGCTTCATTAGGGTTTCTTGTAGAAGGCTAATTATACCCCTTGCCAAGGTTCATTCGCATTATCTTGGAATAAAATTGGTTTTAGCCTTTTGGATCTGGGCAACGGTATTTTTATCGTTGATTATCTGGGCAACGGTTGACCACGTTGATTTTTATTTTTCTGTTACACAACAATTGGTCCGACCTGCCGGATCCCGTCCTGCCAAGATGATGAGAACATAGAACGATCGTTTGAGCGAACTGGAGGCTGAAAAAACCCTAATTAAAGAGAAGCTTGATGCGCAGGGACTAAAGCAAGATGCGCAGGGACTGATGCTGGAACAAAATGGAGCCCAGCTTGCGGAAATCGCAGCCTCCCTGGCAGCGATCGTGAAGGCCATGGTGCCGCCAGAAAAGACGCCGACATCAGCCAGCGGCAGCGGCTCTCCTGCACACGTCGCTTCTGTGCACGCGATCGATGAAGGCTTGCGCAACACGGCAACAACCTTGCTTCCCTCGTTCGACGGCGCAGAACCGATCGGGTGGATAGCTAGGGCTGAACAACAGTTCGAAATTAATCAAACCCTACATGAGAGGAAAGTGGCAGCAGCTACGGTAGCCATGGAAGGGGCTGCCATGTACTGGTTGAAGGCACAGAAACCAGACCTGACTTGGGAGGAATTCATAGATGCACTGGTGGCCCGTTTTGATTCACGGTTCAAGGGCAACCGATTTGAACGGCTGTCCGGGACCAAACAGTTGGGGACCATAGAAGAATACAATAACCTTTTTGTGCAGTTGGCCAGTCAGGTTCCTGGGCTGTCCGAGGATCATTATTTGAAGTATTTCATGAACGGGCTGAAGGGACCAATTCGGGGATCCTTACGATTGTTGCGGCCAAACAGCTTGGAGATTGCAATGCAATTGGCCAGAGACATTGAGGATAACTTGTCCTTTCAAGATCGAATGGCAGCTTTCCTAAAGACATTGGGCAACCTCCGGGGACAAAGTCAGGGCTGTCCGGGCAGCCCACGACACGCTCATAGTTCACTCGACTTCCGCCGAAAGAGTTTGCAGAATTGCGGGCGAAAGGATTATGCTTTAGGTGTAAGAAACCATTTACACCGGGGCATGACTGTCCCTTTAAGCAGCTGCGAGTGATGATAGCCGAGTAGGATGAAGAGTTGGACCTCCAACAGCATGAGTACTGTGAAATAACCAGCCAGGAAAGGGTTCAGGAAAGGGTTCAGGAAAGAGAGGAAAGATATTTTCCAGTCTATTCTATGTCTGGAAATTTCAGTTCCCCGTATGTGAGATTTCAACCTTGAGGACAAGGTTATTTTGAAGGAGGATGGATTGATAGAGCGGGAAGAGCATGAGGCGGGACCGGGCTTGGGCCCACTTCCGTGGGCCGGGCCAGGTTAGGGCTGTCGTTATAGTTTTATTATTATTATTATTAAGTTAATGTTATGTTTTGGTTTGGACCTTTTATTAGTAGAGTACTTAGTAGAGTTAGTATGAGCCTAATTAGGATTTAATTAATTTGAGCTTGATTAGGGTTTCTTGTAGAAGGCTATTTATACCCCTCGCCAGGGTTCATTCTCATTATCTTGGAATAAAATTGTTTTTAGCCTTTTGGCAACGGTATTTTTATCGTTGATTATCTGGGCAACGGATTACCCCGTTGATTTTTATTTTTCTGTTACACAACAGAGCCTTTGGCTCCATTGCAAATGATGGAAAACACTCAAATGACTCAATGAAGTTATAAACAACTTAATGTTTAAAACTATATTTTAAGCTTCAAGTTTATTGGTCTGAGTTAGGGGTTTTTTGTACTCTATCAAGTCAAGTGCGAGCTTGAATTTTATTATTTGATCAACCTCAAACGTGAGTAGTTCAAAAAAAATCAAACTCAAGCTCAAGTATAGTGCTATTCGAGCTTGACTCGTTTCGAATGCACCTCTAGCACGGACTAAATTAACCACACCACAATTCATACATGTTGCTAACACATATATGCAGGTCTTCTATTCTCTTTTGCATTACAATTTCCCCTAGTGAACTTGTCGAGAGAAGATCAATGATAGGACAGGGAGAGGTTTGCATTATAGCAAATGTGCAGCAAGCTTGACATGATGAAAACAATCATTGTCCCAAAATATTTTTAATCTTGATATTTTTTTCTAAAAAGAAGTCGCAGTGCAAGCTTAAAAAATGTAAGCAACCAAAGATGGTGTTGCACAAAGAAGTCGCCTGTACCAACTATATCAAGACAATAGAAAGGATTTATCCACTCTCATTTGAAAATGAAGGCCAATAGGCTTTTGTTGCTTAAAGACTCTCATTCACACATATATACATGCATACCTATGTATGTAGTATAGAGTGTGGATGATATGGACGGAAGAAGCCTATTTTTACTATTACTACTATTACGATTGTTATTACTATATTATTATAATTATTAGTTTCCATAAGCACACTACTACTTTCCTATTGCTATTATTAGTTGTAGTTTCCTATTAGTAATTAGTATGTATAGATATTTACTTTTAGTTAATATTCCTGATAGAAGTATTGTAATAGAATTAGCGCTACTCTAATTCTAGACCTTCAAGAATATGTAGCCTAGTATAAATAAAAGTGCTACATTCATTAATAAAATCATGAGATCATCAACTTTTAGGATAAATAATTCTTCTTGTGCGCTCGGTAGAACTGACAAACACTTCCTTGCCTAGGGCGGGAGGTGTATTATTTTTTGGATTTTATTACTTTTCAATCTTCTTCTTTTCATCTCTAAACCACGTAACAGCGGTTCCGACAAGAATGATACTTCTCGCAAACTGGGAAAGATGGACTTTTGGTTCACTGTGATGCACTGTTATGTTCTGAGTAGGGTGTTTTTGCAGTGGCTGAAAAGGTTAGATTGATTTACAAAACAGTGACCACGTTTTGATCCATTTTTTTCTGTATATTGGTCTTCTTAGAGCCCTTAAATCTTCAACCCAATGCACCATATTCATTCTCTTTTCATTCCTAGGATGTCATTCTCATTTGAACACAAACTCAAGTACACCTAATAATATATAACTAATAAAAGGAGCCATGTTAATATAAGCTGCTATGCAGCTATGCGGAATTAAAGTATACTTGTGAGGTTAGTGTTGCTTAAATCCAATACTGTCAGTACCGTTGGATATCTTTTTAGTATATCAGCAGGGATGAATCTTCATAACTTATTGTTGATAAGTTTGAGTGCCTCAAGATCATACACAATACTGAAAGCAGGTAATACTCCTAAGATTGTAGTCGAAGTGTCGAACTGTGTCCATGAATCATAAATAGAAAAAATGCTGAAGATGACTAGATGCGATGCTTACCATGCCTTTGGCAATCCCGCATTTTGGTATTGGTATATACTAATGCATTAGTACAGTCATACTGATTAATATTTATAAGCCAGCTTCCTCTGAAAAATTTTCTTGGCCTGTTGGATAGCTATTTTGAGCCCAGGAGGGTTGGATGTCAACAAATAACAAAGGAGCGCCATGATACTTAACAAAGAAGTGATTGATGTGCCGGATTTATTTTATACCCCTATCTGTTTCATCCACAATGACCATTTAGCAGCTTCTAGGAACTTTTCATTCCTTTGCAATGCAGAAATCAGGTTGGTGTAAGTTATTCGATCCGGTTCTATTCCATTCCTTCTCATCTCCTTGACCAAATCCACAGCTTCATCAACCATTCCTGCAATCCCATATGCCTTTATTAAAGTGTTATAGCTGCACAAATCAGGTCCAATTCCAGAATCTTTTAGATCCATTAGTGCACCAGCAACTTCGTCAATCCAACCTTGTGTCCCATAAATATTAATCATAATATTGTAGGTGTAACGATCAGAAGCAAAACCAGATTCCTTGATCCTCAGTAATGCTTCACGGAACTTCTCCATCTGACCTTCTTTCCCATATGCATCCAACATGGAATTGTAAGTTTCAAGAGTGACAGTAAAGCCTCTGAACTGCATTTCCCTTACAGTCAATGCCATATTCTCAAGGTCCTTATTTTTCCCATAAGCAGCAATGAGTGTGTTGTATGTGATCACATCAGCTAGACCATGCTTATGAGCCAAGTTCAAAACTTTCCTCGCCTTTTCGAAAAGTCTAGATCTACAAAGAGCATTAAGCATAGCATTGAATGTAACTGTATTAGGTGAGAATCCTTGATGAATCATCTGAAAGAAGATATTTGACAGCTCATCGACTGGCAATGCTCGGGCACAGCAATTTATAACACAGTTGTACATCTCTTGATCCCAATCGTCTTTTTGTTTCAAGACTTTGTAGTAGAGATCTGCCAATTTGTCATTCAAGTTGCACCTCTGATAGATACGAAGCATATCCCGGACCAGATATATGTCAGGAACAATGGTTTTTTGTTTTTCCATGAAATCCAAAACGGAACATGCTTTCTCTAAAAGTCCAGATTTGACATACATTCTTATCACAACACTGAAGGTTATCATGTCCAAGGCAACACCTGAAGTTTTTAACTGTAAATAAAGATTTTCGGCCTCAGCAAACAAGTTCTTAGAACTGTAAATGTCAATCATTGTGCAGAGTATATGCAAATTGGGCTTATCGCCCTTTGGCATGCAAGTGAACAGCTTGACAGCGTTCTCTGGTTGGCCAAGATCTCTGCATAAGCAAATTAAGACATGGTATAAGTTGTCCTCAAATAAAGAATCACTCCATAGCTTTTCATTTAGAATTTTCAGTGCATCCTCTATCATGCTGTTGCGTACATAAGCAATTACTAGAGTTGAACAAGAAGTCTGGCTCTTCAGAACATGGTCATACAGAGACCCCTTCAAAAGAAAAGGCACTTTATCAAAGCGCTCAGCCTTAGCATATGTTTGTAAAACAATGTCAATGATGAATGCCTTTTGACAACCGTTCATCACCATTTCATCAATAATCCTTATGGCACCCTCTTCTCCTACATTTCTGGGTCGCGAAATTAGCATTGTGTACAAATTCGAAGAGTTAGGCTTATAACCGATGGTTTTTAGTTCTGCATAATACCTCTCTACCTGAGTGTGATTTCTTGCTCGGCCCCAACCTTCAATCATGGACCTATAAGTGGTTTCATCAGGATACACTCCAAAACTTCTAAGGTCATCAAACAAGCGCTGGGCAGCATCCATTTTGGATGCCTTGCCATATCCAGTGATCAGTATGTTATATGCAATTATGTCAAGGCTGAATCCAGTTTTGAGCATTGCAGCCAAGATCTGCTCAGCTTTATCCATCTTGCCTTGTTGACTGTAAGTATTAAGCAGAACCAACCAATTCTCTTGATTCAAGACTACTTCATCTTCTTTCAGGAAGTCAATCACTTCTTCAGCTTTACAATGTAGGCCTGATCTCATGTATATGGTAATCATAGATGAGTATGCGGATTGACAGGTTATTCCAAGAGCCCTCATCTTTGAAAATGTAAATTCAGCTTCCTCCACATTTGACTGTTTCTGGTAAAGACTCATTAGCATCCCAAAAGTAGCAATATTAGGCTGAACCCCATTTTCCAACATCATACGAAACCACTTAGAACCCAACTCAACAAGGCCTCCTGTCCGGCAAGAATATATAATGGTATTGAAAACTTGAGATGTAAGCTCACATCCAGAGTCGGTAATCATTTCATTTACCACTGCTTCAACCCCACCCCAATCTTGCATGCTCCCTAAAACCCGTAGAATTAGATTGTAAGCAGTCACATTCTGCTTCAACTTACTGTTTCGTCTCATCCAATCAAAAAACACCAATGCTTCCTTACCATTACACTCTTCTAGCTGCTTCAACTTCGCGTTGCACCTCTCTAAGCTCATGTCAGGCCTAATTTTGTTAACATCAAAATCAACTATTCTTTCCTCATTTACTCCAGCACTTTCCTCTTGGGAGCTCATTCTGGCATCATGCTTGTTTCCAAGTTCCCGGTCCTTCCTCCTAAATTTGGGTTTCATGTTTGAGTCATTGCTTGAACTATTTGAACCAATGGACCTCTTCTTGTGAAAACCTAACCCCTTATTTCTAAGTTTAGAGTTTGAATTAGATCTTCCAGAGATAGAATTATTCCCCAAGTCCTCACTCGAGACATCAATCACATCATCACCCAAACCCAGTTCATACTTATCCAAAAGATCAGTACGAGATAGACAACCCCTAATGTGATTTGATTTACAAAATGGGTTCAATACAAACAAGCTGGTGAAATGTATATACCCGGAAAACGCAGGGGAGCAACCATGGGTGAACTGGACAGAATTGACCATGAAATTATTGGGCTTCTTAGGTTCCAAAGAACTGTCTAAGAAAAGTGAAAGTTTCAAAGAAGCCATAGAGCAGGATGCCTGTGTAGAAATTAATTCTTCCTTTTGTTTGTATTAATTCACTCAATATGGAAAAGTAAGAGATAATTCGAAGTTTAAATATAGCAGCTGGAACTCGAAGAATTTGCACTACGGAGTAGTTTGGAACCAGGATAGAGAATGCTTACTAGGGAATTCGCTCAATCCGGAGAGCGGTTGGCAATGGGCAAATGTTGAAAACAAATTCATGTTGCCCACAAAATCAAGAATGGCTAGATAAGGTTCACAAAAATGCATATATCCCCTGAAAGAAGAAGAAGAAATGGTTGATGCATTTTGAAAAAAAAAAAAAAAAGATAGGCAGCATCAAAAGATATGGGAGGCTATTTTTTTTTTTTGAAAACTGGGATGCTGTTTTTTGAAAATAAGATAATTAAACATTACATTTAAACATCATGGCTACCTTTAATTATCGGGTCTCTCTATATTTTATAACCGTACAAGTTTGATTTGATCGAGTTTGATTTAAATTTGAAAACAATCTAAATAAAAACATTCTTATATTCCTAATTTAATTAATTAATATAATTAATTTTCCTCTCCTTGCAAAACCAAGGTTAGAATGTAGAATTGTAGCAACGAACTCTAACGATGATGATGAGGTTCTGGCGAATCGATGGTAACCTGGGAGAAAAATCCTGGTGGCCAGCTATCCGACAGCGATCAAGTGACTTACGGTAACAATGTTTCAACGCTATAAAGGTATTTTTATTGGAAATTACTCAATATAAGATCAAAAAGTACACAAAGTTCAAAAATATGATTAAATATGTTTTATTTCCTAAATAGGACTTGTTATGTCTTATCAAAAGTCTTACTTGATCAAAACTTTCCAAAATATGAGCGCATGAGTCATATTTTTATCCTAGGGATCGTCGGACCGTCAGAAAATTTCAGATTTTATCCTAGATGTCTTCCAGATTTCTGCCGCCGGAGTTCACCGCCACTGTCGGAATCCATCGCCGTCACCGCCGTCGGACTGCCCCCACTACCAACGGACTGCCTTGATTATGCAAGAGAACTAGAGGCAATTAATTGGGTTAATTAATTAATTAGTTCAATTGGAGGTAAAAATAGAATGGTTAGTCCTATTCAGGAAAACCAAACATTAAGTCCTATTTTGGGAAAAAGCCTATATTTTTGTCTTAGCCATGACAATTTTCTCTTTATACAATCACAAATAAAATATTCCCATTTTTGAAATCTTAAAAATTAAATCATATTTTTGGAAAATGACTATTCTAGTCTTACCCACTTTTCCATAACCAAAGTCCGTATATTATTGAATGTTTTTGTGAAACTCTGTATGCTGTATGCTAAAGATACCCTATTTTGGGTATCTCATTTGTACTCCACCTTATTCTGTAGTCATAAATGAGACAACATATTTGAGTGTGGCCTCATAGGTTATGTGTGATTTAGTTTAGTCTGATTTTATGTAATCAGATATGATCTGATAAAAGTCTAATATCTCTGTATTTTATAACTGTTTAAGTTTAGTCTAATCTTATCTGATTTAGTAGTGATTGAAATTGAAAAAATCTAAATAAAAACATCCTTAAATTTATTTAATTTACTAAGTTTAAAGCATAATATTTCTACTGTGTTTGTTTATTCCTTTCTTCCCCTCGTTGTAAATGTTACAAAGTGCATTGCTACTACACTATTTAGGGGGCGCAGTCCCAATTCCCAGAAAATCATCGGCTTAATCAGTTGGACAGTGAAAAAGGTAGCGATGGTGTTGATCGAGCTCACGCCTTCTGACGATATATCAAAGCCACAACCACGAATGGTCAAGGCGGATGAAGCTTCGGTTAATGGCGGTTCGGCCACTACGGCGGTTGAGTCGGCATCTGGATATGGTTCCGATGGTTATGCGACTGCTAGCGAAACAGAACTGAACGAAACCGATGAAACAGAAAGGAAGGAAGAGGAGAAAAATCGCAGTGACAGTTATATACAGGAAGACAATGCAAAAAAAGGAGATATGAGCTCTGCAACATCAACACAGTCTTCTTCGTGTGAAAATAGAGAAGCTCCTATACAGGAAATGGAATCCGACATGAGTCAACTTATTGAGGTTCTTACTCTATCACTCAATGCATATGACTAGGATGCTAAGCTTGAAAAACTAAGCTAAATAAGAGTATTATTGCTAGATATGATTTCGTGGTTTACTGTATATCTAATGATACCTTGTCCGTGTGAGCTGCTTTTGCTGATATTTATGTATCAGCGCTTGAATGGTATGGTTATAATATCAGCTAAGGCTTTAAGTAAGATTAAGTTATTTGAGAAAATACACAAATTTTAAAACCTTAGGATGAATATCACCTTAAAGGTAGGTCTTGTTCAGCCAATTTTCAAATTTTCTAATGCTTGTGTGCCTAGCTTATGGGAAATAGAATAACTTATATAGCTTCGTGAATGAGCCAACTTCACATTCATCGTAAAATAGAGTTTAGAAAAAGCTGTGCGCAATTGTTTCGTACACTTCCCTTCATCACCTCGTGCCAATCTCTAGTTCATTGTTGGTCCTTTAGTTTTGGTTTATTGCATCTTGTTTTCTTAGTATTATTATTACACCTGTTTTTCACTACTGTTTATTGAGATCAGGTCTTGTGTTTGAGCAACAGGATGCAATGACTCTGGCCAATGATCTGAAGCTTGAAGGAAATTCGTTGTTTAGGGATGGGCTTCACTTAGAGGCATTATCCAAGTATGAGCTAGCTTTGCAAGCTGTAAAAGATGTCCAATCATCTACTGAGATTCAATCAGTATGCCTTGCAAATCGTGCAGCTTGTTTCTCTAAAATGGTATGCTCATTTGTTATCAGTGAATCTCTACTGAACTTGTTGATGCTAACCATGAGATTGCAATAACATTCTTTTGGCAATTCTATGCTCTAAACTGTTCAAAGTGCATTTGTTCAAATCTAACTATTATAATCTTGTGTTTTTTTAGTATGTCATGCGGATATTTTTGTAATTTAGAATATTAATTCACTTTTTCCATCATTTGCAATGGAGCCAAAGATTCATTGTTTTTTGGCTTGAGATTATGATGGAATAAAGAAAAATGACTCACTAAACTGTCTGCGCTTCTTTGTTATGAAGCAGTAGTCAGTCCATGCAATTTTGGACGCGATTTTCACTATGGGTCATCCGGAAACAGTCTTTATGTGCTTTAGTGTAGGAGTAAGACTGCTTACATCCGACCCCCCTTACCCCACCGTAGGTGGGAGCCTTTGCGGCAACGGGGTAAATGAAAATGAAATGAGATGAAAATGAGAATATTAATTCACTGGTAAACAGTTGTCAACAAGTCATCCATTATGTCTTATTGATAGTTGTCATCGCCATCTGCTATCTTGTGACTCATTTGTTTGATATTTTGTTTACTTTCATGTTTGTTAAAGATTGGACATCTTTTACAGCTTGCAAAGCTAGCTCTAAAATGGTCTATTAGTCACAAGTGAGTCTATTAGTCTTTAACAAACATGAAAGTAAACAAAATATCAAACAAATGAGTCACAAGATAGCAGATGGCGATGACAACTATCAATAAGACATAATGGATGACTTGTTGACAACTGTTTACCAGTGAATTAATATTCTCATTTTCATCTCATTTCATTTTCATTTACCCCGTTGCCGCAAAGGCTCCCACCTACGGTGGGGTAAGGGGGGTCGGATGTAAGCAGTCTTACTCCTACACTAAAGCACATAAAGACTGTTTGTTAAAGACTAATAGACTAATAGACTAAAAAAAAGGAGTTATGTACCGATGTGTTGTTTGCCATTTTAAAACCATAGAGATGTTCCTTATTTTCCACGTGTCTTTGACATTTTTATATTAGAAAGCTTAAGATACCGGATTTGTACATACACACTCTAATTGATATAGTTTAGCCTTTGGCAATCTGTTAAATCAAGCAAAGTTGTCCACTTAAAGGGAAACCCGGCGCACATTGGCAACCCCACACACAAGGGTGTATAGGGGGCAAGTCTTCCCTTGTCAAATTTTTTCAAGAGGCCGCTCCAAAGGCTTGAACCCGTGACCTCTCGGTCACACAACAACACCTAAACCGGTGTGCCAAAGCTCCCCTTCGAAGTTGTTGTTCTTTTCTCAACCTTAAATTATACAAAGCCAGACTAGAGTTACGTTCCTGCATCCTGGCTGGTTTAGATATCTTATTTTATATTTACTCCGAGGAGGCAAGTATTTGTAGCATCCTTGACCATTCAGCATGTGAGTATGTGACTAATGTTTCACCGGGGTATTCATATTCCCCAACCATTGGTCTAGATGTTCCTTGTCCTAGAATGCTTGGAGAACTTCTACTTTTCTAGCTTTAGCTTTATTAACTGCTTGAGAAACTTGATTATTCTATATTTTCTTGATGGGGAGGCAAATGTAGAGTCAACATTACCATAGAAGACTTCTCTGAGAACACAGAGACTATGAAACTGTCTGTTAAACTGAGAATAATAGGACTGTTGCAAGGTTTAGCAACTTATTGTCAAATGGTTCTCCTTTCAGTTAAATACCAGTGAGAAAGTAAATACTTCCTCCGTATCTATTTACTTGTCTCGCTTTCCCTTTCGGGACGTATAAAAAATGTCTCATTTCTCTTTTTAGACATGGACCCCACCACCTTTTAACCTCCCATCATTAAATATTTACATTTTCCATTTTTCTTTTCACTTACCCCATTATTCCTCCCCATTAAATCCCCATCCCACCCACATATTTTAATCATCTACAGTGTTTTTACTTTATCTATAGTACACCTATATTTCTTCTTAAACTACTCAAAAAGCCTAATGGGTCATCTAAATAGATACGGAGGGAGTATTCCATTTTGGGGTCCTCAAATGGTTCTCCTTTTTTGTGAGTTGCAAACTGAGAATAATGGGACTGTTGAAAAGGTTTAGCTCCCAATTTTTCAGGTAACAAATCGAGGACATACTTCCTTCGGGAAAGAAGTATTGTTTTTTATTTGTGGTTACCTCGACACCGGAAAAGTACTCTACATCTCCTAATCCTCTTGTCTGAAAGTGGCTATTAAAGAACATCTTAAGAGATGAGCTGTGTCTGGTGTCACTTTCTGTAAGGATTAGATCACTGGTAAAAAAACAGAGTGATCAGGCTTTCTTTTCAGCATTCCAAATTTCTCAATTGCTTGACTATACTTCCTAGACCAGGCACATCAGTTTTGTTTCAAACCATAGTACCATACAGATATTTGTGTAAGCATTAAACCTTCATATACTCTTCTCGAGCAACAAACCACGGAGGTTGCTCAATGTACACCTCTTCCTGGAAATCTTCACTCAAAAAAGCGTTTTTAATATTCAGCAGGTATAAGTGGCCGTCTTAGATGGCTGAAATAGAGATGAGTAACTTGATAGATGTTAATTTAACCACAGGATAAAATGTGCGAGAATAATCAATCTTGCAAATTTGGGCATAACCCTTAGCTACCATTCGAGCTCTTAACTGAGCAATGGATTCATCAGGATCAACTTTAACAGCTACCACCCATTTGCATTTAATAGCCTTCTTCCGAACAGGTAAATCAACCAAACTTTAAGTACCATTGAGAGCTAAAGCATTCATTTCTTCTATAATTGTGTTGCGCCAGCCAAGATATGATAAGAGTCCTTTAACTGTCTTAGAAAGTGAAATGGTGTGCAATAAATGAACGCGAGGAAAGAGGCTGGCAATAGATGAGACAGGATAAGTGCATGTCATCTTACCTGTATGTAGGGCTATCGGGAGGTCGTATGCAGGTGCAGTATGGCAAAGAAGTTGGCATAAGACATGGAGTTGGGGTCTCACTTGGACATGTAACATGAACTTCTGTATTAGATGCTTTGCTCTATAGGTGTAAACATCAGTGATTGGAGGCTTATCATAAGATGTAGTGGGAGACATAGGAAGAGACGTGGTAAAAGTGTAGACAATGACAGCTTCATCATCCCTTGACTAATGTGAGACTCGTAGGCAGTACATCTTCTTGAAAGGAAAAATCTATAGACACTCTATATCACCCTGTGCTAGGACTGTGGACACATGAATAGCCTACAGAAATGCACTTCATAGACTTCTCAAAGACTCTGCTACAGATTCATTGAAAACATGTCATTATATGCATTTGGTGTGACCAACTTGGGCACTATAATCGAGCTTGTGAAAGTATATTGTGCCAATACTCACATCATGAGGGATGTGATGAGCAATTTTATAACATCTTTGAATTATTGTCTCTTTTGATCCCACAATTAGTACTCTATTTGGCTACTTCCACTCTTCGTTCTTTACCTCAAAATTCCCACTTTTACTACTAAACTCTTCCCAAGTTTGGTCCATTTGCATGCATTTTTTGACTATTTCTTTGTTATGTCCTTAGTCTGTGATCTAATAACATTGTATACTTCACAGGGAAAACATGAGGAAACAATAAAGGAATGCACTAAAGCACTAGAGCTAAACCCGACATATATGAAAGCGCTGCTTAGAAGGGCCGATGCACATGAAAAACTTGAACATTATGATGAGGCTATCAATGGTCTATACATTTTTACTGATATTACTTAGTAGCGAATACATTATAGTATTGTCTGTATTCTCTGTTTCCACTTCCTCTAAAAACATACACGCACATACAGGCACCCATACATACACGCACACACACTCACTAACACACGTGCAGGCACCCATACATACGCACACTCACTCTCACTCACACATGCATGCCCACACATACATGATTGTCACATAATAGGTAAAAAGTGCTCAGGTAGATGTCTGCATGCTTTAAAATGGTGCTGCATATACTTTAAAGTTCTGTTATTGACTGCTTTTACTCTCTACTTGGGGTTTAAATGCTTCTAATTTTCGTGCCCTTATAGATCTGACAAAAATCTTAGAGTTGGAACCTTCAGATGACCAGGCTAGAAGAGCGATTGTTCGTTTGAAACCTTTGGCAGATGAAAAGCGTGAAAAGATGAAGGAAGAAATGATTGGTGAGATATAAATATATCTCTATCTATGTATGAATTCACACTTTTTTCAACAACAACAGCATTACCCCAGTGCCGCAAAGGGTCCCACCTATAGTGGGGTAAGGGGGGTTGGATGTATGCAGCCTTACCCCTGTACTAAAGCACAAAGAAGCGCACACAGTTTTGTGAGCCATTTTCCTTTATTCCATCATATTCCTAAGCCAAAAAATAGTGAGTTTTTGGCTCCTTTGGAAATGATGGTCATTTTAGCTCTATCACATTTTTTCAAATGTATAAAGTTAATTGGATTATTTGCCAGATGAAAAATGATTGGCTTCATCTCTAGCCTTTTTAACTTTCACTTTCTTTTTTAGCTCGTTGTAAACATTGCCTGCTTTGTTTTTGTTGATTCCACAAAATTTCAATCTTCCCCAACTTTCGCTTTTGTTGGTTTGGCATGTTAACCTATTTACACAACTTTCACCAATATTATCCCCCGTTTCAATGGTAAAGTAAGAAAATCAATTATCACCTGTTACTTATTCTCTGTACAAAATGTAATTGAGACCTCTAAAATGGATCTACTAGTGTGGATCCATATTTGCTTTTTATCAAGTAATGTATTTTTTATGTTTGTGCAGGAAAGCTGAAAGAAATGGGAAATTCTATTTTAGGGCGGTTTGGGATGAGTGTTGACAACTTCAAAGCTGTGAAAGATCCAAATACAGGATCCTATTCCATTTCATTTCAGAAGTAGCAGTGGCATACTCAGTTGAAATTCTAGGATATCTTGTTTCTGTGTGTGTGTGTTGTGTGTGTGTGTTGTGTGTGAATGTGTTTTGTATATGCACTGTGAGCTGTGGCTATTTGGGCGAGTCTACTTGGAATAGAATGAGTTTTGGGATGCTGGAAAGTTTGAAGGCTCAGTAAGTGGTTCTGAATACCTATTTGTTGAAACATAAAAAAATCACTTTTACTTGCTCTGTAGATGGTAATTCTAATGCAGTTGGCGATTTTTGTGAAGTTATATTTGATCATTTAGATGAAACCGTAATTTTAACAATGGAGCTTGTAGTCTTTCCTAGCTAAATAACGGTTGGCGGGGGTGGTGCGTAATGTGGGTTAAATATGACTACCTACGCCCCTAAGATTGCCCGGGGGTGCTTAATGTGGGTTAAATATTTCTGCATAATGTGATTATTAACAAAAGTCGATCGTATAGTTGGTATTGAATTAAGAATCAAATGCAAATAATAAATGTAATTAAAGTTTATATGGGACAAGTTTAGACGTTTAGTGGTACAAATAAAATGAGATAAAGATGGAGAGGCAAAGGAGCTCACAGTAATCTGCTGTAATTAATTAGATCGAGCTGATATGTATATTTCATTTCTAGCATTTTTTTGCAATAGTGTAAGAAAGATCATTTCTTATATCTACTTTTAAAGGAAATAAGGAATTATATTTAAACCCATCCAATTTGTTTCCCATGTATGATGTATCAATGTATGTCAGCACATTTAAACAATGTGATCAATTCGTGAATCGTGAGTAAAGATAGTTCTGTAATCCGAATACAGAATACTTCTTAACCCACAATTTATATTAGAGATTTTGTTTTTCTTATACATGTTATATGTACTATGTACTATGTTCTTTTTAGTCCATCTTTAACTCGATATCACTCCATTCAGAAGAAAATAATAATGTTTGTTACTTAAATTTACTATAAATTTTCAATTTCATTCATTTATACCCTTTTAGAGGCTAATATTGGGGTTGAGACAATATAAAACTAATCATTTATGTTTGTAAAATAAATTGTAATGGCCTTCTAAAACACAAAACTATGTAATATTGGGCTTGATTGACGTGACAAAAAATGAGACAAAACCTATTAGTTAGGATGTTTTTACTTGGACTGTTTTCAGTCCTAAATCAGATCAAACTTAAACAGACCAGACCATATTAGATCTGACTTTCATAGTTATAAAATACACAGAAACTAGACATTAATCAGACCAGAGCAGACCAAGCTTAAATAAATCAGACCAGACTAGATCAGCAAATTTCAAGTAAAAACATCTTTAGATTTGTCATATTGTCAAAGGATATTTCACATAAAAGTTTTTTTCATGAATTAAATATCTTGCTTCTTATTTTACATTTGTAATATTAAATTCATTTTTGAGAAACCCATCAAAATAACTGGCAAGAACAAAAAGAACCAATAATAACACCCATAATAATAGTAATAATAAACTTGTAAAAAGGAAAAAAATGTATTGGGAGTTATTTAAGTTATCTCATTCCCAAGAAAGAACAATAAAACTGGACATATAGTTAGGTTGTAAATTAGAGTAATTTCTCGTATATTGTATATTTGGTCATTTTGGTGTAAGTGACAGGTCTATACGACTATACTCCGTAATCAAATAGGGAAAGAACAAACATTATAATGAAAATAGAGGAATAATGTTTTTGTTTTTGTTTTTGTTTTTTCGAGAAAGAGAATAAACCTTTCATTCAAATCAACAAGTCATTAGAGACAACACAAGTTCCGAACAATAGCCCCAACACCTCCCTCCTCTCCCCGATGATCCTAGCGGCATTCAGACCAGAAATCTCGAATAGGACACGGTAACCTCCCATCCAATGAGGTGGAATGGTTAGTTGGGATAGAATTCTATAGAATTATTTAAATATCTGATATTCGGTTCGCTACCATTACGGATCGATTTGGTACCAGTTCGGTTTCGTTTTATTGCCCACCCCTATGCCAAAATCGTACTTCTCAAATCGTTCAATTTTTTGTTACTGATACGCTATCATCAACCGATGTATCTTTCTTTGTACTTAATCTTACACCCAGACCAAATTGAAAAGACCAAACTTGATCAAACCATACCAGATACGCCAAGATAAAAAAAATAATCCAATTAAAAGCATGTTCCCATAGTATAATTATAAATGAATGTCTTCAAATAAATAAACTTCCGTCAAATCAATATGCACACTTATTTCAATTATGTTGTCTTATAAGTTAATGACTCTTAGCTTATACGTTTTTAGAATGTTATGTTAATATATTTTTAGTTGTCTTACTGTCTATAGTTTTTAGGTGAATTTAGAATACTATTACCGTCCCATTTTATGTGTCCTACTTTAATTTGGCACACTATTAACAAAGTGATTGAAAAAGTAAAAATTATGATTGCAATTTGAGAATAATAAAATGAAATGTTATAGATCACATATTTCTATCCAACAAAGAAAACGTGACACTTAACACTTATTTTGGGATAACTCAAAAAGGAAAGTCAGACATGTAAAATGGGACGGAGGAAGTAGTAGACTATTATCTTCAGTTTTTATTTCTTTGATGGATTCCAAAGGTGGAGGGCCTCACCTTTTAAAATTCAATTAGCACTATGTTGATTTCACATTAAGGTCATACGAGTATATATTTTTATCTTTTTTTTTAACTCCAGGGGGTCTGGGGATAGGGGCTGGGGGCCCTGGAGTAATCAGAGTTGAAAATCATTTCATTGAGTTTCAAACTCGAGACCTCCCGTAAGGGGGTGAGTTGGCGACCAGCTGAGCTGGACCGCTTCCTCATATATTTTTATCTATGGGCACACATATGAACAACATTAAGATGTTCTTAATTAGACCTATTTTCATCCAAATAACTTTAAAGAAATCAGACCAGACTATACTAGATTTAAAGAATAGTAGAATACTCCATAGTAAATACTCTCTCTGTCCCGAAAAGGTTGGCCAACGTTGACTATCACGTGGATTAATAAAGTAAAAATGTGTGGTTGAAATTTGGGCAGAGAAGAGAGAATTAATTTTAGCCACATATTCCTTACTTTAAATGAAAATGACAAATCTTTTTGGGACATCCAAAAAAGGAAATTTGGGCAACTTTTTCATGACGCAGGGAGTATACATTTACCAATCGTTCACCATATAATGTTAAGAAATTCAGTCCCAAATAGGATCTAATCTCACTAAACATGATAAAATTCATAGAATCAAAATAATAAGAACACTAACCGGTTGAGGAGAAACCGAAAGTTGATGATGCCGTAGAAGATGATGAAGCCATGACATTTAGATTCTCTAAGGATACAAGCGGATTTGATGGATTAAACGATCTTCCTTGGGTCTCCTAATATAGGTGTTCTTGAGACCTTTGAGAAGAAACGTGTCCGACCATTTTATTCTTGTTCGCAGTGGCGTATCCAGGGTGGGGGCAGGGGGCAGCTTCCACCACTCAACCCCCACCCAAACCACACACACACACATATATATTTAAAAATTCAATTATACATATTTTTTGTGCCGAATATATATAATATACCATAATTACGAAATTTGTAACCAAAGATCAGTCTGGTGGGGTGGAAATGGAGCCGCGTGCATTTGATGTCCCTCCCTTAGGTTAAAGGTTTGAATCCTTCCTCCATTTTTTTGTTCCAAATTGTAGTTTTCAATCCATTATCTTCCTTATTTTCTTTTTTCAAATATTAATCAAATTTAAATTGACTCAATATGTACATACATTTATATTTTTAATCTATACTTCATTAAATTATTAAAGTTATAATATACTGCATTACATTTTACACTTGACATAAATTTAGATATAATTCGACATTCACAATTTACATTTTCTAAATAGATACACTATCTGTCCCTTATTGAAGTTATTTATTTATTAACATTACATCAAAAAATAATTTTTTGTGTCAAATTTATTAAGCATGATTTCATTTTTAGCTGATCGATTAGTTTTTATTTATAATGAATTTTGTACTATTTTTCTTAAAGTGTTCAGCTGCTCGTGACATGCTTGAAATAATAAATTTTTAGTTTGGTACTCCGTACTATCCTGTAAATTTTTAATTAGAATTAAAAGCCCAAGTAGTTGCCCCTAATAAAAAAATGAATTGCCCCCAATAAAAATTTGGAGTGTTGCCGTATTTGTTCGTTTGTTGCCTTTGATAGTTTGGTACTCCGTACTATCTATTTAGTATAGTTGTTTAATCCTCCCTATATATTCATTCTGTTGTTTACTTTCCGTATTTGTTAATTCTATTGTATTAATTGAATCATTGTATTGCATAGTTTAATCTCTAGTTTTATATAAATATTAAATAGTATTACTAAACCGATATTAATGTTAAAAATTTATTATAGGGTTTTTATTTACATGTATTAGATTTAATATTTTAGAAAAATCAATTAGATTTTATTTAATTGATGTGTTTCGGAAATAGTTATACATCTATTAATGTAATGTTTTACACTATTAGAAATTACAAATTAGAAAATCACATTTAATACGTTAGAAACACTAAATATAAATAATATGTTACTTTGGGTAGTTAAATAAAATGTATTAATGTATTAAAAAATTTAATTGTGATGTATTTTGTTAAAACTTTTATTGAAAGAGATGTTTGAAATTAAACTAGACATGGCCGCAGTCGGGAATGCCTCAGGAAATTAGTAAAACCCGTTATATATGTTTCTGTGAGGTTTCTAATGGTCCAATACGGTCCAGTTCTAAGGATGGAAACATTTGGTACCATGTCGTTTCGGAAATGTACAAAATATATGGTACGGTACAATGTCAAATGCATGCTAAAAAGTTGGACAAATCTCACAATTTGTAGATATCATCACACGAACCAACTGACATGAAGTGTTGATATAAATACAAGAAAAGGCATAGTAAAATGATGATACATGAGATAAATATCATCTTTAACTTACTAATTAAATTCATGTGAAAATATAAAAGGATGTCATCATATTATTGTTAGAAACACTAAATATAAATAATAATAATATATAGTTGAAACATATATTAGTTGTTAAATATTAGTTCTAATTTAATTTATAGTTGAAACATAAGAGCTCAAATTTAAACCATATTAATTAAGTTGTAAAATTGCACAAACATGATACAACAAAAAGTCATATACACTACATTACTAGAAATGAATAGTAATTAATGTTTTTTAGAATTTTACCATTCTTTCAGTACATACAAAAATATAACACATAGTATCTAAAAATAAAAAATAACAATAAAATTGTTGGTCTATAAAATACATTTATTGGGTTCCAAACGGTACAGTTCGGTACCATTACGAGCCAGTTTGATACCGATTCAGTTTGGGTTTTATGCCCACCTCTATTTGAAACTGTTACAAATGAAATTGTAGTGCGTCTCTTCCAAAAGATAAAAACTGGGCGCAGACAAGTGTGATGTGTTTTGTTTTTACTTTTATTATTGTATTATTACCTTAATACTTTATTAAACTTTTATGCATTTTTTAATTATTTACCCCGCCCCAATAAGTTTGTATCCTAAAGGAGTTGTGTTAGATAATTATTAGCCATGTAAATATATATCCTTCCTAATTGGCAGCAAGAAAGCAGGTAGCGGTGGAATTAGTTACGTAGTATATAGCTTTGAAATAATAAAATTCCTATTTCATATTAGCTTCCATCTTTGAACAGATGTTCTTACACTATGCCTGAAGATACTCCAACAACAACACTAGTGTCAGATGAAAGTGAGCAGCGGACTGCCGTAACGACGTCGTCTACGCTGACAGCAGAGGAGAAATCTGATCATCATCATCACATTCTTATTCCTCCAAAACCAGATCCAAACCCTAACCCTACTAGGGTTTTGATGAACAAGAAATTCATTGTGCTGATACTGACCATTCTAACCTTCATTTTGTCCTTACCCATCCTCTTCACCCTCATCTACTTGCTCTACACGCAGCAGTACGACTGCGAGGATCTCCTCCGCCTCCCGAGGCTCCAATACGCCATCGTCATCGGCCTCGTTGTCGTCTTCCTCGTCAGCAACCTCGGCGCTTACATCTTCGCCTCCCGCTTTCCCATCCCGGCGATTATCGTCGTCACCGTGCCTCTTATCGTCATGCTCGTTGTCGGGCTGGGCCTTGTCGGAGCTTACCAAGCCGAGGCCCGCAAGATCCCGGGTTCCCCGCCATGGCTCAAATCCAAGATGCACGACGACAATGCCTGGCCCGCCATTAAAACTTGCATCTATGAGACGAGAACTTGCAAGGATTTGATCGCCCGATCGTACCTTCTCAAATCATTTAACTTCTTGGCTACTGATAAGCTATCATCAACCGAGGTACCTTAATTTCTTCGTTCTTAATCAGTAAGATCGATCGAGCTTACATGCATGCAGGCTTATCTATATCCAAAGTGTAATTTGGACTAAATCTAGTCTATTTTGATGATCGATATAGTGAATCTGATCTAGATAGTCTATATAAACGTGATTTGGATTTTAATTTGTTCCGGTTCCGCCTACCGTAAACTGGTCCGATTTAATATGATAATGATTTGGACTCTATCTTCTGATATAAATGTTTTTTTGATTTGGTCTGATTTGAATGATTGAATGATTTTCCGTGAGAGAAACAAATTGAGATATTAAATGCATACAAGTATAATCTGAGTTTCCGCCTCACTTTTTGGGAGATACTAGATTTTGTATCCTATTATCAAAACTTTTAGTCTCATAATTTTAGAGTGGTATTCGAAACGGGAAAAAATCTCAAATTCATATAAAATTATGTTTAGCCCTAATTTATTCCCGATGTCGAAACATAAAATTTCAGGCGGGATGTTGCAGACCGCCTCCGGTGTGCGACATGGAACTGGTGAATGTCACATATTGGAGGCGGCCGTTGAAAAAGAAAGACGAGGAGAACTGGGGAGAGTACAATAACAAGGATTGCAATTTGTGGGACAACAAAGAAAGCGTTTTGTGCTACAACTGCAATACGTGCAAAGAAGGGTTCGTGAAGAGCTTGGAGGGGAAATGGCGGCGGCTCGGAGCTTTCCTCATTGCCATCTCTTTGTTACTCATCGTCTCCCATCTCTTGCTCTTTGTAGCTACCATGTGGGAACGCTACGGAGCATAGCTAAATAAGTAATTCAAGGTTTTATTTTATTCTGCATTATATATATATTATTGTTAGATTAACTAGAAATTAAAATAGAAATAGCTACTAGCTAGGTAGCGTTGGACGTCTACAAGGGATTTCTTCTTGTTTTTATTTTATTGGTAAAATAAATTAGGGGTATTATTTGTATTGTTGCATCTACTAAATCTTTTTTCAGTACGGTTTAATTTATCTACTCTATTTATCTGGATTGTAGTTTATAGCACACACCAAGTTTATAGAATTGTTTTTTTTTTATCTGATATGCTCTGGTATGGAAGATAGATGTATATTTTATACTCCCTCCGTCTCCTAAAATATTACCAAGTTTGGCGGGCACCGAGAATAATAATAAAATAAAAATTATGTGATTGGATTTTGTGCAGAGAAGAGAGAAATAGTGAGAACAGGAAGTTAATTAATTACAGAGGGAAGTGGTTGAGTTTTGTGACAACTAAAAACAGAAATAATAATAATAATAATAATAATAATAATAATAACAAAGTTATAAGAGACAAAAGGAGTATTTATTTTTCTATTGTCTAAGTTTGGTTTATCTCGTTTATGTACGTCTGACCTTGTCTTGTCTGCTCTGAGACTGAAATGATTCCAATTATAAACATTACAAAATTTTACAATTCGCACGTTAATAACAATTCCATCTTGACTTTTTTAATTCATTAATCTATCTGAACTTAAATAGATCAGACTAATTAATTAAGAGACTGAAGATCAAACTAGAATAGACTCTACTTATTAAATACTACTCCTCACATTTGAGTAGCAAGATAGATCAAGCAATATTTGACTAGACCAAATTATACAAGACCATTAATTAGTTATCTTCAATTCTAAATGAGAAATTCATAAATTGTGTAATATTCAAATCAAGATTTGTCCTGTTGGGTGTGTTTCGGAAAATAAAGAAAATTAATTAAAATAAATTAATTAAATAAAATGACTAGAGGAAAACAAGGAAGGAGATGAAGCAGAATTAGCCAAAGCTCGTGCTACGCACGATTTCCTTAAAACGTATTTGTTGCCTCCCACGGTGCTAGGAGCGTTGCAACAATCGTTTCCCAGGATACGATGACTACGAACTAATGTTTGAGCACACAAACAAGAGTTCCAGCGAACGAGAGCCAAGTATGAACACAGAGGAAATTTGGGAATAGCTGGAAGAGTTTTTAGCTCAAGAAAACGTGAGGAAAGTGTTGTGCGTTGTCAAACCGTGTGTTTGTTGCAAAGCACCTGCCAGCTATTTATAGGAGGATTTGTTGTGAGTTAAATGGGGTGTTAATGGACCTGAACGTTGGACATCAATGACCAGTCCGTTGGGCATTCAAGCGTCCATAAACTGTCCATTTAACGCTGCATTAAAAGAGAAGAACGTTGGGCATTAATAGTTGTAACGGAAGAAATGCGTGACAGAAGACCCCAACGATAAAAGCTCTTCTGGGAAAAAAAACGTTCGGGAAGAAAACAAAAATTAACTGTATCTCTTGAGAAATAGATTTTTGGACGGCATTCGTGACCGCAGGTCGCCCGCGCACACGAGTCGTGGTTTTTCTTCTCCGTTTCGGGATTTGATCGGCACCCCCCCACCTGCGCGTAAGAGAGAGCCTTTCCCTTTAGGAATCTTAACTCCTTAAAAGAGGCTTCCCTTTAAAAGGGGGTGAAAATCCCTTGAGTTTTTCGGTGTGGGATAAAACACACTAGAAACTCATCATTTTCCCAGTTTTTCCATTACAACGAGCGAACTTCGAGAATCAATTTCTCATTCACCCGTTATCCGTTTTGAGCGTACCATATATCGAATTGTAGCCCTTAACAAGGACAATCCGAAACCACTTTGACTCGACCCAAATCGGAAGTAGAACCCACTCAAATAATTGCCCCAAAATGACCATTTAATGCAATTTTTAACACATTTTTCCATCAATCCCCCACATGAATGAAAATTGATTTTCGAGACTTAAAAAGACACGAAGATAGGAGGACACGTTGTGTTCACCGGATGATCCTTGCATACGGAGAGGTAGGTTTTATCCTTTGAACCTTCCGTTGTAAAGACACGTTTATTTACTGGATGTCTAGTAGACTCGATGTCCTTGAACTATACTGCCGTCGTGTAAACATTGACTTATCTTTACACAAGAACCTTCCAACTTTGTTCCGTTCTCATGGGTGTGCCCGTTTTGGCCATGGGTCACCGTCCTGGTTCTGCAAGAGTTTCTAAAGAACTGAGCCTTTACAGTTCTCCTTCGAAGCGGCCCTCTTCTCTCTCACATAGGTGATTCTTTCACGAGTATCCCGCATACTCTTCCAATGTTATCGAGTAGATCAACATTTTAGAATCATTAAAGCAAACGTTTTTGCTAACCTCGTGCGGGAGTCACTGTTTTTAACGAGGAGTGGTTAGGAGTCCGGGACCCCCACAGTGACCATCCTTCGCTCTATAATTTAGTTGTCCCTTTTGAACCTAGGACCAACTAGGTTGGGTATCCACTATAGAACTTTTCAATTCACGGGCTTTAGTCCCATTCCTCGTGACAACTTCTCCAACAATTCTCTATCCAATGCCTTGGTTAGCGGATCCGCTATGTTATCCTTTGACTTCACGTAGTCAACAGTGATAACACCCGTTGTGAGGAGTTGTTTAATGGTGTTATGTCTACGACGAACGTGTCTAGACTTACCATTGTAGAGATTGCTCTGTGCCCTTCCAATTGCCGCTTGACAATCGCAATGTATGCATATTGGAGGGACAGGCTTCTCCCAACTTGGAATATCCTCGAGAAAATGGCGTAGCCATTCAGCCTCTTCAGTGCACTTATCCAAGGCTATTAGCTCAGATTCCATCGTGGATCTAGCTATTAACGTTTGTTTCGAGGATTTCCACGACACGGCTGCACCTCCCAAAGTGAAAACATATCCACTTGTGGACTTAGAGTCCTTTATGTCGGATATCCAACTAGCGTCGCTATACCCTTCAAGTACAGCTGGATATCTTCCATAGTCAAGTACAGCCTCTTCAAGTACAGCTGGGTTTTACGTAAATACCTCAAAACCCGTATTATTGCCTTCCAGTGTTCATCACCGGGGTTGCTAGTATATCTACTTAGCTTACTAACCACAAAGGCAATATCAGGCCTGGTACAACTCATTAGATACATCAAACTTCCAATAATCCTAGCGTATTCTACTTGAGAAATACACTCTCCACGATTTTTGGTAAGATGAGTGTTTTTATCTAAAGGCGTCCTTGCCTCTTGATAATCATCCTTATTAAATTTAGTAAGGATTTTATCAACGTAATGGGATTGGCTTAGCGTTAGACCGTCAGGTCCTCTAATTATTTTAATCCCAAGGATTAAATCGGCCAGCCCCATATCCTTCATGTCAAATTTAGAATTTAACATGCTTTTGGTAGAATTAATCATTAGATTATTGCTACCCACGATGAGTATATCATCCACGTATAAACATAAAATGACATAGCCGTCTACCGTGCTCTTCACATAGACGCATTTGTCACTTTCGTTTATTTTAAACCCATTAATTAACATTGCATGATCGAACTTTTCGTGCCACTGTTTGGGGGCTTGTTTCAATCCATACAATGATTTAATTAATTTACACACTTCCCTTTCTTGGCCTGGAACACGAAAGCCCTCGGGCTGTTCCATATAGATTTCTTCGTCTATATCGCCATTTAGAAAAGCGGTTTTTACGTCCATTTGATGAACTTCCAATTTCCGCAATGCGGCAATTGCTAGTATCATCCTAATGGAATTTATTCTCGTCACAGGAGAATATGTGTCAAAGTAATCATGGCCCTCACGTTGCTTGTATCCTTTGATTACAAGTCTGGCCTTGTACTTATCGATGGAACCGTCCGGTTTCATTTTCCGTTTAAAAATCCACTTGGATCCCAAAGGTTTATTTCCCGGAGGAAGATCAACCAATTCCCATGTGTGATTTTTAAGGATAGAATCCACCTCACTTTTGATGGCTTCTTTCCACATAGGACCTTCAGTAGACGTCACGGCTTCCGTATAAGTCCGTGGCTCATTTTCTACCAAACATGTTAGAAAATCCGGTTCATTTTCTACCATACATGTTAGAATATCCGATTCAAATTCTACCAGGTAGGTGAGAAAATCCGGTCCGAAGGATTTTTCGACTCTAGCACGTTTGCTACGTCTGGGTTCGGGTTCTTCTCCGGATCCCTCGCTAGTATTTTCCATAGCTACGTCAAATGTTCGTTTTGACGTGCTAGGCCCTTCGTTGGACTTGCATGGAAATACATCTTCAAAGAATGAAGCATTCCTTGATTCAATTATTGTGTTTTTATGTACATCCGGATTATTCGAATCGTACACTAAAAACCGATAAGCACTACTATTTTGTGCATACCCAATAAAAATACAATCCACCGTTTTTGGACCTATTTTTATTTTCTTAGGTGTTGGTACAAGCACCTTAGCAAGACACCCCCACACTCTTAAATATTGATAGGAAGGCCGTCTGCCTTTCCACAACTCGTACGGAGTTTTATCATATTTTTTCCGGGGAACCTTATTTAAAAGGTAATTGCTTGTCAAGATTGTTTCGCCCCACATATTTTGTGGCAAGCCCGAACTTACTAGCATCGCGTTCATCATATCTTTCAATGTGCGATTCTTTCGTTCGGCAACACCGTTTGATTGAGGTGAATAGGGTGCGGTACGTTCGTGTACTATACCCACACTAGCGCAAAAGTCACCAATTGGTGCTTCATACTCACCACCTCGATCACTCCTAACCGTCTTAATCCTTCGATTAAGTTGGTTTTCCACTTCATTCTTATAAAGAATGAATTTATCGATTGCTTCGTGTTTATTTTTTAATAAATAAACGTAGCTATAGCGAGTGCTATCATCGATAAAGGTAATAAAATATTTATTACCGCCGCGTGTCTGTATTGATTTAAAATCACAAACGTCACTATGAATTAATTCAAGTGGTTCCGTTTTTCTTTCAACCGATTTGAAAGACGTTTTCGTTAGTTTTGCCTCTACACAAACTTCACATTTGTGCTTCACATCAATTGTGAATTTAGGAATGTGCTCCATGTTAATTAATCTACGTATAGAATTAAAATTAACATGTCCTAGTCTACCATGCCACACATTAGAAGACTCAAGCAAGTAAGCAGAAGGGAT